TTTATAGCTTAAATAAGCAAGATACTAATTGTGTATATGGTGGTGAGCTTTTTTGGTTCTTCCACACTACCCAGCACAATTGTAGGTGTGCCACGAGGGTTCAATAACTCCTTGTTGATCAATACTAGAACATCAGGAATAAAAGCTTAGGCTATCTCCTCTCCCATCAAAGTATCATTTTCCTGATTTCAACTACTTTTCAACTTTGGTCTTCATCTTATTCTAAATCCACTCACGAATAAGTATGAAAAAGTGCTCATTCTCATTAACTATCCAGGACAAGCAAATCAAAACCACACTGAGATAACACTCAGCACCTGCTGAAATTAAAAAGATGAACTGTAGAAAGTGTTGGTGAGGAAGTAGAGCAATAGCCACTTATGTATACCACTTTGAGAATATTTTGATTTGAGTTATAAACCAAACACGTACACCAGCGATGTATGACCCAGCAGCCTGCGCCTGGTTAATACTCAGCATAAATGGGTGGGCAGTGGCACTAACAGACACACACAGAGGGAGACTCAGAGCAGCATCATTCAGAATGGCCACAAGCTGGAAACCACCCATGTTGCCCTTTATAATAACATTGCTAACCTGAGTTACATTCATGTGGAGAACTCTCTGTAGTAATGACAGTGAGTGAGGTACAGCTTCAAGCAAGCAACAAGACAAAGTAGAACAAAAGAAGACCCACACTAAAATATATATATACTCACATTATTATGTAGTTCCATTTATATAAAGTTTAAATATCTAAAATGAAACCATAGTATTAGAACTCAACACAGAACTTATTTTGGTGGAGCTAGGTGAAGGAGTGATTGGGTAGGCATGAGGGACCTAGACGGGAATCACCCAGTGTTTGCTTCATAACTCATTGAGCTGTATATTTAATGACCCATGTGCTTTTCATGCATATGGGATATACTTTGCAGTACATTTTGAAATATAATAAATTAAAAGTGAATCATACAATAGACATGGCTTTACAACACTTTCTAAGAGTAAATGCCTAACACATTGGGGGTGACTGTCTTTTCTGATCCTCAGGGGACAAACGGGTGTCCCTCTTCGACTTAACCTAAATTCGCAGGAGCCTTGGGGTACTGCCTAAACAAGAGGCACAGCCCAGCTCCTGATGGTGGAGCCCAATCTGGCAACAAAGTGAGGCCAGCAGAAATCCTAGTTGGGGAATTTCTGCAAAGAAATAAACAAGGTAGGAGACCCACCCTGTGAGCACTGGTGGCCCAGGGGAGTCAGTCCCTCTGCCTGGGGTGGAGATAGGCAGGCATTTGGAACTGAACAAAGCTCCTACCAGCCCCCACTGAAGGAGCTGTTTGTTTCCAAAGGCCTGATGGAACAACTAACTGTAAGCTAGGGAGAGGAAATTACACAATGGATGTTGAAATGTGGGCTTGTTGAAAAGTTGTCACTCGAGTAATGAATGCCCTATTTCCTGTTTTTTTGCTGAAAGTTAAATGTTGGGCATAATTAGCTAGTAAAAAAGCAAGCTTGGCAGCAGAACAAAAATAGCACATTTTGGGAGCCCAGGCCAATTAAAATTGTTTATGCAGCCATTTAGCAATATTTTTCTCCAAACTATTATGACTGGGAAATATGCAGCATGAGACTGTAAGGCAAGTTCCTCAGAAGAAAAATGGCCCACACAATGATCCTTTAAACAGCCTGCTGTTCTCAGGGGATTTTATAATAAGAATGAGCACTTCCATCCTCCTGCTCCCTGGGCCTCCTCGAGATCTTGAGAACGGTATCAGTCACTCTGGAGCGGGCAGCCCTCCACGAGGCACTGCAACCTGCTAATGTTAAGATTAGCCAGGCTCCCCTATGTGCTAGAGAGGCCAACGATTATGGATTTAGCAGCCTAATGCAGTCATTTAAATCATCTGGCCGATGCCATAATCAGACCGAGTGAAACGTTTCTGTTAATAACCGGACAGTCTGGCTGGGGTTAGGATTAGTTGATAGAACTCAGCAAAATTGCCTTTGGCCAAGTTTGTGGCAATGCCAGCTCTTCTCCTTGCTCTCTCCACCACTTTATGTGCCCCTGATAATCTTCCATCTCCAGTGCTCAGATTATTTCTTTCTTTCCCTCTCCGGCCTCCCTATCAAAACCTGCTTTCAGATTCTTCATTTATAGTAGGGTGTAATGATCCGATAACAGCTTTAAATGTTAGTGATCACAGCTTCTAGCTAAGAGATGAAGCTTTGATTATGGAATTTCAGACACTATCCAACAGGCTCAAGGGACAGGGTGGACAGTTTGGAGGCAGGGAGCTTCTCAACATCCCTAAAACTTTATCCAAGGGAAGTGGCCTGTTTTACTTGACTTACAAGGTTAACCCACTTGGCTGAACCCCATTGTTGGCTAATAGCAGAGACATCTCTGGAGGTCTTCACCAACTATAGATGTTGAATGGCCCAAGAGCGCCGGCACATTTTGTCTTAGCTTGGCCATATTCTCTGCTAGAGTTCTAGAAGGCAATTCACAAATAGCTTTTCATCCTAAAGACACTGAGGTGACAGCTGCTCATGGCGTGGGCGGGGGCACCTAAATCTTTAAGCCTTCTGCCATTGTGGGTAGTGGACAGAATTATTCAAACAGCACAACACTCATTCACATGCAAATTTTATACATATAGATAGAGATATGTGTGTGTGTGTGTGTGTAATTAGAAACAATAATTGAGCTTGTTGTCAAGGGCTCTCCTTGGCTTGACCAGCATCCCTGTCCCCCTTTTCTATGACTACTCTTACTGACTTTGTCAGAACTTCTGGCAGCAGAAGACCATACCATTTGTCTCACTTTTGTGCCTTGTCCAGTCTCTGTCCCCTGCCTGTGCTCCTTTCTCTGCATGAATCCAGATCTCTCCCATCAGATAAGGTCAACCTGACTCCGATTTTTATCCTCAAAGATACCTCTGGCCACGATGGTCTCCTACTCATCTGAATTCCTAAAGCAATTACTCTTCAACCCGCCTTAGTCAACAACTACCTTCCACGTGTCCGGTTTTGCTATTTAACATGGTGGGGGAAGGTAGGAAGCATGGTAGAGGGTCAGCCTCCCTCCCTCCACCCTATAGACATTTGAATCAGAAGGGAACCCTGGTCAGCTTTTCCAGACCAGAACTAAATGAAGTTCCTGTCTACGGTCCCACCCTTGGGTCCTCACAGGAATTTCCTGTTAACCAACCACCCCTCACCCCCCTGCCATTTCCTTTCCTCCAGGCCTCACCTCTGAATCATGAATTTCCCTGCTGCCTTCTCCATTCTCTCTCTCTTTCTACTTTGATAAGCATTACAAGGTTTTCCAAAATAAAACCTTAGGAGATCCACTCCATAGACCCAAACAAGCCACCAAGAGACTTTACTCCAATCGTCAGGGAGATGTGGGGCAGTGACTATAACCCTTAGGTTGTCAGTCTTGTGTCATTCATTCATTTGTTCATTCAGAAAATATTTTCGGAACCTATCCACGTGTCATTGTCTATGCTGGTCCCAAAGGAGACAGCAGTGAACAGATAGCCAGCCACTGCCCTCCTTCTTCAAGGTGCAGGTGGTCCAGCGCACGATCCAGGTGGGTCAATGAGCAGATTCTATACGGTGGTGATGAGAGAGGGCTAATGTCTCCCATGCCCATGAAATTCTGTCTTGTTACCCAGTACCTGTCCAAAATAGGGCCCATAGTACTCTTCTGTAGCATTTCCAGAAGCTAAAAGTTCTTCAAAAATCTCAGGTTGTGGGGCTGAGGCTGTAGCTCAGTGGTAAAGCGCTTGCCTTGTGTGTGTGTATGTGTGAGGCACTGGGTTCAATCCTCAGCGCCACATAGAAATAAATAAAGATACTGTGTGTTCATCTACGACTAAATAAACATTTTTTTAAAATCTCAGGTTGTTCCCACTACCTGTTAAAATTAGCAGCAATCTTAAGAGAGGAAAAAAAAATGTGTTGGTCACAACACTTAGAGGATTCTTCATGGATTTCAAGACAGTAATTGGGTCATGCATCCAGCCTTCTGCCAGGTGCTTTAACTGCCTAATGTTTAAAATTAGGTGACAAAGGCAGTAATTTGAGCACTAATGCTAAGCTATCACTTACTAAACACGTGTGTGTCCACTGTGGAGAACTTCGCATAGGTCCTAACTTTCACTTCTCATACAGGGTTAGCAGAGAGGGTCTGATTCAGCATACCCTGGACCAGACACCTCCTTTGGGGCCTCTAGCCCCAGTTCGTCTACCAGTGAACTTCATTATTTTTGCCTCATCTGCCCCCACACCCTCCTCTTTTCACTCACCTGCTTTAGATACAGACCATCTTACTGTCCTGTCGCCCTTTGGCCAGAGGGGAAATAAGTGACTGGAACTAGACACAATCAATGTCCTTTCCCTTGAACTTGAGTTCTGAGAAGCTTGGCTGGTGCTGATCTAGCCTCACTACTGAGTTCCAAACAGACTTTCCATTATATCTTCCTTTGCTTACGTCCACACAGTTGATTTCTGTTGCTTGCAACCAGCAAACCATAACCCAAACTGTCGCTAATTACAACGTGATGCTGACAAATACAAACCTCATCATTCTTGTTTTGTTCTGAAGAGAGAAAGCCTATGCTTTCCAGAATTTGCAAACCCCCCTTCAGCGCTTTGTGGGAAAAGGAAGGCTCTGGCGCCAGGGCCGTGGACCGTGCAACGCTAGAGAGAAGAACTGCCTGACAAACAGCCAATGTGCCAGATGAACGCTTTCAGGGGAACAAGGGTTGCCTGAACACTATCGATTCTGGACCCACTGATGGTTCAGGCTGGGAGACTGGGTGTGACAGCTCGGCCTTGCTCCGTGCGGTAACACACCTCCTTGTCAGGCCTATTTTCCAGCGTCAGCCGGGAAATGGGAGACTATTAAGGAAGCACCTTATCAGGAACCCAGCTCAGCGTCACTGGGGAGACGGTGGCAATTAACATGATGGAAGCTGTGAAGCCACCCAGCTCCTCCTGGCCAGGTGCAGAAGAAATTAGCAGGAGGCCTCTTAACTGACTGGCTCCAATAAGGTAGGGAGGGGCCCTGGGCAAACACTGATGATCCATTTTCTCTGACTGGGAAGATTCCCACCTATTCCTAGCCATCTTGTGATCTGCTTCCCACACACCTTTGCTGGTATCTATCTATATCACCCTTGTCCCAGTTGCAGAAGCAATAGTAACCTCTGTCATCTAAATGGTGTTCTCACAATTATGCCAGGCATACAGTGTGGTTAAGGGCCCCAGCTTTGAAAACCAGAGTGTCTGGGACAGATGGGTGAATAAGAGAGACACTGTCTTTACTGTTGGGGCTTTCCAGCTAGAGGAAGCTGGGAGAGAATGTGTGAGCAATCTTGTTTTGAAGAAATTCTCACACCAGTGTCATTGCTTCTGTACCCTCCCATTCCAAACACATACGATATAAAGGAAATAAAAGCTCATCTACAAACTGGGAGACCCATTTCCTGCCCTGCAGGAATTCACAGTGCGACCTCAGAAAAATCCCTTTGCCTCTCTGAGCTCAGGTTTTTCTGAAATATAAAATGAGGTAATTACTAGCTGTTCTCTGACTTAGTCTTCCTCCCCTAAGAAGCAGATGCTAAGAGGGGATTGGACGTGTGAGGATGTAATGAGGGGAAAGGCCCGTGGGGAACACAGAGAGTCGAAGATCTAGATCTGAGAGAGCCTCAGACCATGACATAGGCCTGACTATGAATCACAAAGAAAGAAGGGGTAAGTGGAAGCACCTTAGACTGTCCTGTAGATGAAGGGAGGTTCAGCAAGGCTACCAGGGAGGCCTTAAGCCAAACCTCAGAGTTCCCCTGCTGCACTCTGTGGTCTGCAGCAGCCATGCAATGTGTGGCCTCTGAGCAAACACAGAGATAGGTCTGGAGACCTCCTGTAGTTAGAGGTCTGTAGGATGCATCCCTTTGGCCACCATAATCTCTGTACTTCCTGGATGCTCTGATGTTCGACGTGCCGACAGACCCAAGACCTATGGTGGCCTCCAAGGGTCTGACAGCTCACTGGCTGGTGGGTGAACTCTTGACCAGCCCCTGCAGGGCAGCTTCTCTCGGGCACTCCCTGATGGCAGAGTTGGCAGGATGTTTATGTTCACTTGACACTTTGGGATCAAATGCTTCCTGTCTCTACTATTTTGGGCCTGGCTTTGGTCTACAGAGAAGGGAAGTCAGGGGCTTTAGTTTTCCTCCTGTCGTCTTTGTTTGAAGTGAGGCCAAACAAAAGAGGCCCTACGCGGATTACATCTGTCCTGCCCTTCCTAGAGACCCCGCGCACCCCACCCCCAAGCCCTGCAGCTCCCATGAACGTGTTCACCCGTAGGAACGTCCAGATGGGTCTGGGTCAGAAGAACCTGGACTTGGGTTTCTGCTCCACCACGTCTAGCTGTGGAACCCTGGACACATGACCATCTCAGTGAGGCTTCACTTTCTCATCCATAAAACAGACCCGTAGTCCCTCTCTCATAGAGTCATTTTGGGGATCGAATAAGGCCCAGAATATCTTTAGTACACAACACTTGTCAGTGGTGGCATTTCCTACATACCGCCTGTCTAGTCTGATCATAATTACCTTCAGTATTATCTGAGATGTTGCAGTCTCAGAAATTTCTCCTGTCCTTGGGAAGCGTGCAGTCTAGGACAAGAATACACACTGAGATTAGCTGCTGGGGTTTGGGGGGTTGGCTTGGAGAAATTTGTCACAATCAGATCAGCCTCGTTCCTTTCTCAATTTCTGCAGGACTTTTCTCTCATGTCTGCACCTCTGATCTCCTGTGCTCATCTCAGACCAGCACACAGTACCATGTAGAAATGGGATCAAGGGCACTGAAGGTGCAGGAAAGTGCCAGATAGGTCAGGATAGTGCCAGATAGGACGCATGACAGACAAAACAGGAGCAAGAGGTGGGCCACCAACTCCAGGTGATGAAGGGCCTTGTCGACCACATTGAAGAATTGGACTTGATCTGAAGGTAAAGGGGGTGCCGTGGGTGGGTTTTGAGTAGGAAAATGATGTCATCAGATTTGTCTGATGGCTTCAGGACAGTTTGCCAGTGTTAGCTCCCTGTCCTGAGGAGAGCTTGTTCTCTGGAGAGGAAAATATGAAGACAAAGTCCTGAAGCTGCCCCCACCCTTTAAAACCACTGCCTGCTCAAACTTTCCCTGACCTGTCCCATCTGAACAAAAGCCCCTGGGCCAGCTGGAGAGGTGCCTCGTTGATTACTTGTTGATGACTCACGATTCCCTTCCCCGAGAGGACGAGAGGACGGGCGCTGATGTGTTTTCTCTTGATAACTCTGGCTCCTTTCGAGCAATAGGACTTCCTGTCTGATCTGAGAGCAATTGCTATACCTCAGAGGAGAAAATGCTTTAAGCAAATCCAGTGATAACAGAGGCATTTGCTCAACCATTAGCACTGGGTTTAAGAATGAGCCTTTGGTCCCCTCATATCCAGACCAGTGTCTCTAGATCCATTTGGTGGAAGATTGCAGTGGCCAAAAGGAACCTTTCCCCAGGGTAACCAGGACTCACGCCCCTAAGCACTCCTGGCTCCTCTGATCCCACCCCCAGAGGCCAGCTCCAGGGGCCTGTGAACAATAACCCCAAAGTTTGGTCTTCTTGAGGCAAGTATGAGCTACTCAGGTCAAACTGTGCCCCTGGATCTGTCTGTGTGAATGGGCCTTCAGGAAATCTGCATGAAGACAACAGCAGAATAACAACTGTCTTTTTCCCTACCTTGAGAAATTTGGAAATAGAAAATTCCACCTCCAGCCAGGCACAGTGGCACACACCTGTAATCCCAGTAGCTCTGGAGGCTGAGACAAGACCAGGAGTTCAAAGCCAGCCTCAGCAACTTAGTGAGGCCCTTAGCAACTTAGCAAGACCCTGTCCCAAAATAAAATATAAAAAAGGGCTGGGGATGTGGCTTAATGGTTGAGTATCCCTGGCTTCAATTCCTGGTACTCAAAAAAAAAAAAAAAAAAAAAGATAATTATACCTCCAAATGAGCATTCCTACCAGAGATCATTAGGTGCCAAAACTGTAAGTTTCTGGTATCTTCTAGAATATCCCTAATTCTTTGCTTGCTATGTTAAGACTGAGAAAGAGATAAGAGGGAGACAAGAACATTCATTGAATTTGCTTGGCAATATACCACTATTCTAAGCTCTGTGCATATGTATGCCACAGCATGTAATCCTCCTGATGATCCTACCATACAAGTACTATTATTATTCCCTTTTTAAAAAAGGGAACTGGTCACAGAGGGGTTAAGAATCTTGAAGTTTCTAGAAGGCACTCATCTCTGCCTCCTTGTCACTTAGCGCCTAGTTGAAACTCAAGTATTTGCTAAATAAATACTATGATGTGCTGACCACTGACCAGACACTTAATCCCCTCAGGGTCTGTGTGCCTTGTTAGTAGCACTCTCTCTCTCTCTCTCTCTCTCTCTCTCTCTCTCTCTCTCTGTGTTGCAATCTTTGCGCTCATTACCATTCTCACAAGTGACCCCTTTGTGTCTCAAGGGGAGACTGTAAGATTCTGCGGTCTTCTTTAGCAGGAAGTTCTGTCCAAAATTAGATGCTTCGTCAGTGCTATTATCTGATTTTTATCCATTTTCCTTCATGCTGGGTGTGGTGAGTAAAATAATGCTCCCCCAAAACACCCTAATCCACAGAACCCATGGATGTGCTGTGCTGTATAGCAAAGGGGGATTACATGGAAAGATGGAATTAAGGCTGCTGCTCGGCTGACCTTGAGCTGGGAGAATCTCCTGGACAAGGGTGCTTATAACTGAGCATTAAAGTCAGCCCTGAAGATGGAACATTGCTGACTTTGAAGGTGGAGGAAGGGGCCATGAGCCAAGGAACTTGGGCAACCTCTAGACTACCTCCCAGGGACTTCAGAAGAATGCAGCCTCTTATACCTTGGTTTCAGCCCCATGAGATCCATTTCAGTTCCAGAAGCCAAATACTTTTGTAAGATAATAAACTCATGTTCTTTTAAGCTGCTAAATTTGTGATCGTTTTTTACAGCAGCCATAAAAAATAAAAATGAACACACTGGTACTGAATATACAGTGATGAACAAAATACACATGGTCTCTGTTCTTAAAGACAGCTGGTTGGATATTCCCAATGTGTAGGGACCCTGACCTGGCAACAGTCCCTAAAGCACATTAGGTCCCAGGAGCATTTCTGGGGCAGTGAGAGATCTGCCCTTTCTGGGGCCAAGAGCCTGTTGGTGGCACCAGGGCTCCCCTAGGCCTACTCAACTTCCCTACTGGGGCTACCATTATTATTTTCTATTTGGGTGAGACCACACTGAGTGTTTTGCATACATATCTAATTTCATCCTGGTCACGGCGGCTCTGAGAGAGAGATTTTAATTTCCATTTACCATTTAAGAAACTGAGGCTCTGAGAAGAAAAGTAGCTTTCCTAAGAGCACACAACTGGTAGGTAGCAGGTGTGAACCCAAGACATATCTGACTCTTGAGCCACACAGGCAGATCAGCTCCTCTCGGCCTCCCCACCCCCATTCCCATCTGTAGGCAGTTGCAGGGCCCACTTGCCAGTTCCTGTAACAGGGTGGAGTCCTTTGTTTGGGCAAAGATTGTTCCCACCCTTGTGCACAGAGGGTGTTTTTTTCCCAGAAGCTAAGATAAGCATGATTCAGGATAGTTCATGAGGGGTTGTTCTGGATAAAAATCCTTGGATAGAGTGGGTGGGCCAGGGCAGCACCCAGCGGTATGGAGAGGCATGCCAAGCCTGTGACCAGGGAAAGGGGTTCTGTTTGTGGGAGCTCTGGCCCAGGGAATGGCCTCTAAGGAAGCTGAGACTGGAACCTACTCCTCAGCCCAGGCTTCATGGCCAGCCAGCTTCATCCTTCCCCTGCCCTCCTCCGAGTAGAGTCAACTTGATCCAGCCCTCGGTAGACTTGCTTTGGGGAAAATAGGAGGGAGTCATTAACAGCAGCAATGCCACCAACAATAATAAGAATAACCACTATTTATTAAATGTTTATGCACATTAAACTAATTCCATTCAATCCTCATAGTCTCTGATCCTCCCCACTTGATAAATGGGGAGACTCAAAGAATGAACTTCCCAGAATCACACAGCCAGTGAATGCAGGACCTGGTCTCCTTAATTCCAAAGCACATGCTGTCTTGGAGTTGGGGACACACTTTTGATTGCTCATATGAGAGATGTAGGAGGGTGCTCCATTTCTGCCTCCATTTCTCCCATGATCCTGGCCGTGGGGAGGCTCTGACCGCCCATGTGAGAACCTTGCTGTGGGACTTGGGACTCTCTGGCCAGCAAAGGGTGCCTGTGACTATGGGCTGAGCCACGCTATCACACTGAAGTGGAGTGGAGAGGAAGTGACTCAATCATCAAAGGCCTGGTCTTCCTCGGGGAACTGTCCCTAATCACAATTATCCCACTACAATAATACCGTTTCAGAGAGGCTGCGAGCCGGGGCACTATGTAGCCATGTAAACTGCTTCCTGTATCTGCCAAACCCAACAGCATTCGGCAATTAATAGAATCCAGCTCGGCCAACTTCTCTGATAAGACCAGAGCCATGCTCCGGCCGGCCTTGTTGTTCTAATGACGAATCGCCCTCGTGTTGCAAAGTCATTCTCAGCAGCCTGGGGGGGTGGGGAGGCCAAGGAGAGCCATGCACATTCTGTTTGGTTCTGAAATTTCATGGAGGTAAAAATTATTTTCATCCTCCTGCTAAAGAAAGGTCGTGACTATCTGGGCCATCCCCAAGACCCTGGTGTTTAATGAACACTGGGATTGAGCAGGACTCCTGCAGCCTAGAACACAGACCCACACACAAGCAGTCTTCATGAGGGGGTTCCAGGGAAGAAGGAGTTAGAACAAGTGAATACAGTGTGGCCTCTGAATTGTATCTGGGACATTCAAGATCCTCATCATAACCTGCTTTTCAGGGCCTAGAGAAACACTGGAGAAAATGACCTAGCCCCACAAAAATTCTTTGTGGTGCTCTGGATGCTGTTGGGAGGCCACTTTCCCACAGTTAGAGGACCTCACGGAATCTCCATTGGTTGACTAAAGATGGCAGCCGGGTGCAACTCTGCTGCCCACAGTTCAGGGTCAAAGCTGGTATGTTACTGCTACTCTTCCCATTTTCCTATTTTCCTTTGGTGACCAGCGCCCTCATTTCTTGTCACTGGGTGGGGCATTTTCATTTTCTTGTGAAGGGTCAAATGTCTACATTCTCTGGGGGGGGAAGCTGACTAATTAATTTGACTTGCTTCAGACCCCTAGGTCACATTCCCACGAAGTCACGCCTGGTCAAGCAGAATGAGGGGTGACTCTGCCTGTCCTCTCAGGGGAGCTCTCAGGGGGCTTGCTCACTTTCCCCTCCAGAGAACAATGCAAATGAAGGCAAAGGGATTTTTGCCTGAGCAAGGCCCCAATAACCTTTGGGGAGGAGGGCGAGGCCCAGAGGATGTGGGTGTTTTAAAATTGGCCCTGGCTTTGCCGGAAGACTCTCTTGAAGTGATTTGCAAATAGTACCCAAGCAGGGTAATTTCCTCTGATTTAGGCCTTTTGTGTTGCTGTTCTATGTTGAGCCCATTCTGATGAATTTTCTTGGTAGAAATCTCTCTTTTAAACTCTTTAGTTTTTCTGCCCTAGTAGAAGGGATTGGGGAAGGAAAGCGGAGGCAGAAGTAAGGAGGACTATTTTTTTTTTTAATTTTTAGTTGTAGTTGGACACAATACCTTTATTTTATCTATCTATTTATTTTTTTGTGTGGTGCTGAGGATTGAACCCAGCGCCTTGCAAGTGCTAGGTGAGCATTCTACCACTGAGCCATAACCCCAGTCCCTAAGGAGATCAATTTTGCATGATGAGAAGTCATTTGGCTGTTAGGATCCCAGTTTTGTGGATGTCCAGTGCTTTTTAAATTTTTTTTTATTTTTTATTTTGATATAGGGTCTCACTAAGGTGCTTAGGGCCTCACTAAATTGCTGAGGCTGGCCTCAAACTTGAGATTCTCCTGCCTCAACCTCCTGAGTCACTGGAATTACAGGTGTGTGATACTGTGCTCAGCTCCACTCAGAATTTTTGAGAGTTTCCTTTCCTGAAGTTGGCCATTCTCATTGGAGCCTGTCCCCACCCATCAATTTCATGGAAGGATGAGCAAGATCAAAGAAATCAGAAGACTCATCCAACTTTTTAAGCACCTAGCACTTGCAAGGCGCTGGGTTCAATCCTCAGCTCCACACACAAAAAATAAATAGATAAATAAAATAAAGGTATTGTGTCCAACTACAACAGTTGACAGGAAATGCTTTGAGAGTTTCATGTGTTTTATTATGGAGGAATCTCCACTCCTCTGACAATCAAACAGTTGGAGGTGACTTATGGGAGCTTGTTCTGGAGACCAAGCCCACCCCAGTGCCCCTTGATGGGTGGAACATTTCCTTCATCAAACGTACTGGACGGAGCTTGATAGAAAGATGCAGGGGCTCTCAGAGGTAGGGCCGTGGCTCTGCTCCTCCAACGCCAGGAGGTTGGGCCAGATAACAACTGGGTAGAGGCTTCAGGGAGCCACAGGAAGAGGAGCACTAATCTCTCAGGCCAGGTTGTGTGAGCAACTGGAAAGGGATCTGGAAAGGAATACTATGGTCTTTGATGCCCTCTATTTGAGCCCAGAGGTCCTCCCACACCCTTCTTTGAATCTAACAGTTAGCTGCCTCTGAGAATGATCTTTAGACTCTATCACACCAAGTTCAAAGAGAAAGCCTGACTTTAAGTTGCTACCTAATGAGAATTGCAGTTCAAATCCCTTGGTTTATGGTCATATTAAGCAATCATTACTATCACACACATTAGAACCTTAAGTTACTTTGGTAACTTAACCTTAAGTTACTTTTTACATCCTGGGCACTTAGAAAAAAAATCTATTCATCCATCTATCCAATCATTCACCCATTCACCCATCCATCCATCCATTTACTTATTCAACAACTTGCTTCTGAGTTCCCACTGTGTAACAGATGCTGTGGTAGTAGGTATGGGGAATTACAGTGAGTAAAACCAGACAGATTCCTGCCCTGACAGAATTTAAGAAGTGTTGGAAACATTTATCAATCCAATAAGTATTGAAAAGTGCACAGAACAACAAATCAAATCAAGTGTTATGAAGAAAAGAGACAAAGTTCTGAAGGAGCTATTCACAAAGGATCCTATGAGACTGTGGGAACCAGCAAGGGTCTTGCTGAGAAAGCCCCCAAGGAGATGGTGTGTATCTAATTCACTCATTTCCCATGTTTCCCAGAGTGTCTGGAATAGCCTCAGTACATGGTGGGTATTTGATAAATTTTGATGGTGCAGGAGTTCGTGCATGTGTTGGCCATGTTGCCTGTTACTATGATTAATAGGCTGAATGAAGTTTATATCCATGTTACTCTCTAGAGTTTATATGTTTTCACATGCATAATTTTTTTGATCCTAGAATGCCCTGAGTAGTAGGAAAGATGGGTATTTTTCTCCTTGTTTGATGAGTAAGAGAACTTACAAATTCCCCTGGGGTGGTATGGTGGATAAAATTGGTTTCTGAATATGTCTCTGAGTTTTTTTTTTTTTTTTAAATGAGATTGATGTATGAACCGGTTAAAGCAGACTGAGTAAAGCAGATATCCCTCTCCCATGCAATGGGCCTCAGCCAATCAGTTGAAGGTCTCAATAGGCCAAAGAGATAGACCCTCCTGAGAAGGACAGAGAACTCTTCCTACTGACTGCCTTCAAACTGGGTCGTGGGTTTTTCCCCAGCATTTGGACTGGAACCACACCATTAGCAACCCTGGTGTCGGGTCTTGACACTCACACTGGAACTTACACCATTGGCTCTCCTGTGTCTCCACCTTGTTGACTGCAGGTCATGGGACTCGTCAATTTCCAAACTTGTGTAATTGTATAAAATAATTCCCTCTAACTTGTGTGTTTGCTCTCTCGCTCTCTCTCTGTCCACACACACACACACACACACACACACACAATGGATATATAATTTCTATATCTATATATGTCTCTCTTGTCTATAGCTATCTATCTCCTACTGGTTCTGTTTCTTAGGTAAGTCCTAACTAATTTCCCTCCCTTACAGATAAGGAAAATGATGCCCAGCTCTTTTCAACCTATCCCAAACTCAACCCATCATCTTCCCTCCCGGCCACACACCCCTGGGAACTGAAGGTAAGCATCCTGGCCTCCCTGGGTTTCTCTGATCTCTTAGATCTTGACATTATTTGTACTCTTTGGGGTTCCCCTTCCTCTTTTCGCTCCTGCTGCTGATCCCCACTGCCAGATCCTCAGCTCTTCCCTCTGGGTGGAGGCAGCATCACCTGAAGGACTTCCATAGCTGCAGAACCCCCTGACCACTCACAGTCAGAATCATCCTGACCCAGCTCCTCCATCTCCAGGTCTTGCCAGCCATCAGGGGCTTTGAGTACCAGGTCCAGGGCCACAAGTTCTTTGGGCTCCAGGGTAATGTTTTAGGTCTCAAAAGGTGTGTTTTAGTTGACACCAAACATGAAAAGACGAATTGACATTAATAAATGTTCAGACAGGACTGGGGCTGTAGCTCAAATAGAGCGCTTGCCTTGCATGTGTGAGGCACTGGGTTCAATCCTCAGCACCACATAAGAATAAATAAAGATACAGTGTGTTCATCTACACCTAAATAAATATTAAATTTTAAAATAAATAATAAATAAATAAATGTTCAGACAATGCTGAAAAAACTAATTTGCCGAACTTTATAAAATTTCACCTTAATAGAAAATAGGTTCTTTTTTTTATCACTTTGAAAGAATTTCTGAGCATGCATAATGATTATTGCATCGTTACAGATATATGTAAAAGAAATGTGTTTGTAAATAAATAATTTCAAGAGTGACAATCACCAAAATCTTGTGTGCTTTTCCTACAGGAAACAAAAACACGTGCATTTAACATGAGATGTAACATTCCTGGGGCCTCTTAAAATGCTCTCTTCATCTCCAGCCTTCCCTGCTTCAATACCTACTGCCATCACTCCTGCACACCCTGGGCCCCTGCACATTCGCACCCACCTCTGGTATTCAGGGTCCTCCATAGTCCAGCCCCTCCTGCCCTGTACCATTCATTCATTCAACAAAGTCAGTTGATACTTGTTGTCATTGATCTTCTGACTTGGGCCTGGTTCTAAGAGGGATACAGCACAAAGCAAGACCAACATGTTTCTCACTCTGCAAAAACTTGCACTAGATTGGGGGGTCTAGAAGGGGAGTAGGACCTGGAGATAGCCAATAAGCACATAAACAAATAATGAGAAAAAAAACTATCAAGCTTATTCGAAAGAAAAATAAATAAAGGTAAGGAACTTAGGTATGGTTAGAGGGCAGGTGCTCTTTTTGCAGTGGGTGGCTAGAGAAAGTCTCTCCAAGCTTACCACCCTGAGGCCAAGACAAGGATTAAATCAAGGAACTAGCCAGGCAAAGGTCTGAGGGGAGAGAGTTCTAGGCAGAGGGCACAGCCAGTGCAAAGACCCCGAGGTAGCTATGGGTCTGGCAGGTTGAGGAAGAGCCAGGCTGCCAGGGCATCTGCAGCCAGAGTGAACAAGAGGCTAGTGTTTGGAATTGAGGTCAAAGAGCTGGGGTGGAGGAGGCAGGATATGGAGGACTCTGGTCAAGCCTCAGCTCCCCTGCTCTCCAGTATGTTCCTTCAGCTGCTCCACTCGCAAATGCTGCCATGGTGTGGGAGGCACTTTAATGGCTGACTGGTTCATTAAGCAGCAGCAGCAGTTTGCAGAGCCACAGGGCATCATGGATCTGCCAACACCTCCCTGCGACAGGCATCTCTGTGGGCCGGGCTAGCCAGGCACAAATTACCTCACTAAACAGCCACCACCTGCCAATTCCAGCAAAGGCTTTCATGCCCCCCCTTGGCTTTGTTGCCGTAAGAGTCCCACTTGACGCCCACTAGTTTCCTCTTAAATGCCAATTGCCCCCATCGTGTCAGTCCTCACGACTAGGAGCCGGATGTCTTTTGCCTTGACTGGGTATCACAGCAGACAGGCCCAGCGTGGCTCCTTCACGGTCATATTCTGACTTAGTATTCATGATTCTTAAAATGTAGCAGGAGTTAAATGAAAGCAATAGAATTCAGGGCTCTCCTAGTTTAGAACTCTGTGGGGACTTGTAAATATTTTTTCCCATGGATGGAACACATTTGGCTTCTATCGAAAGGTGTTTGGGGTTGGCTGAATTGCAGCTAAACTTGACCAATAATATTTACAGAGCACCTCGGTGTCAGGCACTGTTTGAGACACCAGTAGAACAGTGACCATGACACACCAAATCCTTCTGGAAGGAACTTTCACACAGAGGGGGAGAGAAACAGCCAATGACCAAGTACATAATAAATGATGAGGCATGTTTCAATAGTGATAATCCCTGTGGGAAAACGGAATGAGATGAGATAGTGGCTGGAGAGTGGGGGCTGCCAGAGGTGTAGGCAATACTTATATCCAGTGGCCCAAAACAGCCTCTTCCAGAGGATGGCCTCCCAGAGAAGACCTGAAGGAAAATAGAGAACCAGCCATGGTCAAGACTCAACTCTCAAGGGACAAAAAGTACATACAAAGGCACTGAGACAGGAATGGGTTAGCCCTTGGGGAACAGAGGGCCAGTGTGATTGGAAGGCAGTTAACACAGAAGAGAGGGTTAGAGAGGAAGCTGGCATGGGCATCCAGAGCTGGGTTGTGTAAGGTGGAGTGGGCCATGGTAAGAGGCTTGGATGATTTTATTTTAAGACAGGGTTTTGCTAAGTTGCCCAGCCTGGTCTTAAACTCCTGGGCTCGAGCCATCCTTCTGCCTCAGCCTCCCAAATTGCGGGGACTAACAGCATGGGTCACCTCACCCAGATCGCATGATAAGGCAAGAGAACCCCTTGAGGACTTTTAGGCTTGCTTAGTGGTTTAAACAGTCTACTATGGCTTCCAGGTAAGAAGCCACCAACAATTGAACCTTTTATTCTTACAGTGCTTTATTGTTTACAGGGACCTTTCATGTTTGCAGTGCCATTAGCATCACATTACAAATGAGATGAATAGAACTCTTTCTATTTTATAATGGAAAACTGAGGCCCAGAGAGCTTTATGTGACTAAGCCACGTAAGAGAGCCAGCAAGTGGTAGGACTCAATCAAAAGTACTTAGTGCAGTGTCTGCTTCTTAGGAAAAGTTCCATGGATATGGATTGGAAAGAACTTGACGAGCAGTGACAGTTCCACCCATCTGCTCTTTTGCTGTGGCCAGAAACAGCACAACATGAGTGCCTTGTTCTTTTTGCATGGCTTCAGCCAGAGGAGCACTCTCCTCTTCAACCAACCACCAGAATGTATATCAGGATGCTTAATCGTGGTTCCATGGGAGATCCTTGTACCTTATATCATAACCATGTTCTGCAGATGCCCATCCCCTCAAATTGTTAGTACCCACAAACACAAAGCTAATTCCTGGGCTATAACTGAGCATGTAATAGGCGTTCATATAAAACAGAAATCTTTCCAATGAATTAATTATCATTTCCCGAGTGCTTCCTATCTTCCAAGCACTGATTATTAGTATCGTCCCAAAATTGTTTCAGTTAATTCTAACAGCAACCATCTTTGAGAAAGGGACTATTATTATCATTTTATACATGAAGAAACAGAAGCTCCGAGATGTTAATAAGGCGCAAATGAGTCCAAAGCCCATGCTGTTAATCTCTGTTGTACTTCCTTCTTATTCGAGGTATGGTATCTCTGTTTTTTCAGCCTTGATACTTGGAACTTTAAAGTGTTAGAAGTAGGACTCCAAAAACAAACAAAGTGTTTTCTGCTGCAAACACATGGAAGAGTACTGTGAAACTCTCTGAGATTAATCATTAATCCACTGGTCTACACATCTGTCCATCCATCCATCCATCCTAGTAATCACCTTTCCCTCTAATTTATGTTAACACTTAGAAGAAAATATAAGTACATCCTATAGGGGCTGGGGTTGTGGCTCTGGGCTAGAGCACTTGCCTAGCATGCATGAGGCACTGGGTTCTATCTGTGGCACCACGTAAAAGTGAATAAATAAAATGAAGGTATTGTGTCCACCTACAACTAAAAAAATATTTTTTAAAAATAAGTACACCCTACAGATGGTGTGGGGGGGGGGGGGGTCACAGGGGAAAATTGAACGAGGTCTGGTTCTTTCATACCACTTGTTCCTTCCTAAATTACGCCCGTTGCACTGCAGAAGAAACAGAAGATGGGTGACAGCCATGTTGAAAAAACAGGCTCTTTACCTCTTCCTCTCATTATTACTGCTCCTGTCATCTGTGGGAGGGGTCTGTCTGGAGCCTCTGCCTAATTTGTCATCCCAGGAAGGCCAAGTGTATCTCAGAAGCTCACACTCAGACATGCAATCTGTTGCTCATCTGGATCAGTGGGGCCTGGGAAAGCAGAAAGGCATGTAGGTGCAGTGCAGTGCAGAGGGTGTCCAAGGACCTCATGGTGTCCTCCTCCTGCAACGCACCTTGTCCAGCTCCTTAACCTCCCAGCTTCAGTTTCTTCATTTGTTTAATAGAGTATTAGGTCCGGATTTTCTTTTTCCCTCATCTCCTTTATTTTCTCCAACACAAAGCCTCTGATATGAAAGAGGAGTTCTTGTAAGATAAAAATAAAGATGGAGGCTTTGTTAATAATGAGTCAAAATGAGACAAAGATCAGTAGGAGTGGGTAATATTAACGAGAGGCAGGTTTGTAGATCCTGTAGCTATTAACCCCTAGACTCAAACAAGCAAATCAGAGGAAACAAACTAAAACATCTGGAAAGATCAGGCAGGTAAGAGAAATGAATAAGAGCCATGACTGTCCACACAATAGGGACTTGTGAAGGCGGCATGAGAGATGTGACTAGGTAGGATACAGTACTCACACCTGCAGCTCAGTTCCAAGATTCAGTGCCATACAAGGAAGCCATCTCAGTGCTAACAGATCATTCTGGCTTTTCAAGAAAATCCCTAGATTCTGGTTGTATGTAAAATACTTTTTTTTAACATTATCTGGTAAATCAACTTTAAAACATGATATGGGCCAATAAAATATGATGTGTTAAGGGAAGATACTTATTCCCTTCTTGATGACTCCTCATTAGAACAGACTCTATAAAGGCAACATTCCTGGCCTCTCCTGACCCTTCACTCATCCCTCTCCCAATGGGGAATAGTACCTTATGATTGGTGGGTTTGGCAGGAGAAACTGGCATCCATCACAGAGTGCCTTCCTCACCCCTTCCCTCTGGGTCCTGCATGCTCCCAGGGGACATGAGGTAAGCTCTGATGAGGGCAGCCTACCCCAGTCCAGCATGGGTAAGTCTGCCTAATTCTGGGATTCCACACTCAGAATACTGTTAACCTACAGCTGCAAGCTGTGTTTTCCAATATTCGTTTTCTTACTGGTTAACTATCACCTCCATCAGATTGCTAGCTAGTCTTATTTCTGAGTTGTTTCATAATTAAGGCAGAGAAAAGGGGCTCTATTCATTGGCTCTACCTCAAGACTCCAAGAGTTAGCTCTGGAGGGGGCAGGGGTGTGGCTGGGGTTGTGGCTCAGCAGTAGAGCACTCCCCTAGCACATGAGGCACTGGGTTTGATTCTCAGCACCACATATAAATAAATAATATAAAGGTATTGTGTCCACCTACAACTAAAAAAAAAAAAAAAAAAGATTTTTTTTAAGAGTTAGCTCTGGTCTCAAGTCATAAATATGTTCCCCATGGCTACAAAAAGAACCTTTGGATGCATAATTAGGACCTGTCCTCATCCATCCAATCATGGCAAACACAGAAGTCCTGCTTAGAGCTTTGAGTATCTTTTGGTGATTCTCCAGGATGGACCTTGGAAAGATGGGGTAGAAAAGGTCCAAGAGATTGTGGAAGATAGGAAAAGAGGAAGGGGAATACAAAAGGGACATCAACATCTAGATAGCTATCAGAGGAGGATATTATATGGATTAAAAAATGACTTGTTGGAGAGACAAAAGAATGTTTAGTACCATCTCCTGAACATCTCGCATATTTGGGTTGACCTAATGATGTTATTTCCTTTTAAGTAATAGTCGATACCTATGTACCCTTCTTAAAGATAACAT